TATTGTCTACTACGAACAACAACAACAACAAATGTTTATGATTATGATGTTTGTGTGGGAATTTCCTTTCTTTCTTTCATCATCATCATCATTTGCATAATTAACCATAACAAAACCAAAGATCTGGTACAAAGAAGAAGAATCCTGGATATTATACATTTAGATATTGTCACGAAAATATGTCATTCATGTCACAACTAACCATCTATACATCTATGTATATGTTTATCAATTATATGATCAAACTAACCAAACAACTTTGTTTATTTTCAACAACAAAATTCGTTTCATTACGATCAAAGAGAGAAAATTTTCATAAATTAATTTTTAATTGGACAAAAAAAAACTTTTTGGAATAAATTTTCAACAACAACGAAAAAACAACAACATTTTTGTAAATTGAATTTTAATTTGTGATTTTTAAAAAATAATTATCATCATTATTGAACAAAAATATTGAAGTTTTTTTTTCAAAAATCAAAGAAATTCAAGGAAGTAAAATTCATCAACAACAACAAAAACAAAAAACAAACTTAATCATCTGTGAATGGTCATGAAATTTTTTGAAGCAAAAAGAGATGTTATGTTTGATCTTTGAGATAATAACCACTGTGATTATAATCTAGATTATAAAAGAAGATTCCAAGGTTAATAATCAACCAAAATAATAATGAAAAAAAAATTATGATGAAATATCTTCTGTCATATAGAAGAGATTATAATAATCACTTGACCAAAAGTAGTTGTCGAATAATAATAAGAAACTCTCATACATAATTGAAATATGTTTTATGTTTGAATTGACAAACAAAACTTCATAATTGATTATCATTAGCAGTAGTTGATTTTTTTTTTGTTGTCAGATGACAACAGATCAACATCAATGTGTCATCTCTCTTTTTGTGAGTGTTTACCTTGAACAATGTGTGACATGCCCGAAATATGAATTGATAGATCATTCAAACAAACGAAAAAAAGTAACAGATTTTTTTTCTCTTGATAGAAAATAGATGGAAAAGAAAATTAACACGAACAAAAACAATGACAAAACGAAGAAGAAATGATAATTACGACAGAATTATAAAACAGCGAAATAAAACTGGATGCTTCTGTTGTTGTTGGATGTCAATGTCAACGATAACGATAAACAATTTTTTGTTGTTGTTGTTGTGAATAAAGAATGAATATAATAATGTGAAATGTTAAACAACAACAACAACGATGAAATAACAATGATAATCATCATTATTTTTAGGATGATATAATGATAAAAAACATAATGAATGAATGAATGAATGAATTATACTTTTGATCACCTATATAAAATACTAATGATGACAAATTGTTTTTTTTTTACAAAAATTCAATGTTTATGGATCGATCGATGTCGAAATAGTCGATGATATCGAAATCTAGTCAAATTTTTTTCCTCCTTGATATCGATACGTGATGTTCCGAAATGATGATTATTACCAAGAGAGTGATGCATCGAAGTAATGATAATTAGAGAAAATTAATCAAAAATCGATGTAAACAACAGCTACCGGGAACAAGAAACATCAGCCCATCAATTGATAATCTAGATTGATCATCATCATCATCATGTTTCTATTATGATTTGCATTTTTTTTGATAAATAAATCCATAATGATTTACATTCAATCATTCATTTCTGATTAGCGTTTTTCTTTTCATTCGTAAAGTTCCGAACATCAACAATTTGATTTGATTTACAAGAAAAAAAATTATGATTGATAATTTTTCTGTAAAGGCCATTTGAAAAAACTTTACAACAACAACAACAACAACGTATGCATTTTGAATTTTGAATCTTCTTCCGTCCAATTTTTCATTCATTCATTTCATTTCATTTAATCAGAAAGTTCATGTCTACAACTGATCAAATTCAAAAAAAAAATGTGACCGTAAAATTTTTATTATTGCAATTTGCAATTTTTCAATGAATGAATGGAATTAGCATGAATAATTTTTCAATCGATTGAACTTTTTTGAAACAAAAAAAATCATCAAAAGATGATGATAAGAATTATAAGAACAAAACAAACAGAAAAATCGTAAACTTGTTTTGATGAATGGAATAATAATAATCATCATTATCATAATGAATATCAAAAAAAAAACATGATACAGTAGTCAAAAATGTTCGATACATAAACGAAAAAACGAATGGAAAAACATTGCCCATCAATGTAGATATTTTAGAGAGGGATTTGCTTTGAATATTGTTAAATGCGTAGACCAACAACATGAGGACGGCGATGTCGATATACTTCTTTTGAAGAAATGAAAAAACCTTGAAAACATTGGAAAAAAATCGTCTAATTTACATCAAACATTTGCCCGTTCATTCATTCATTTATTTGATATTCAATTGTCATTGTATTTGAGAGAGAGAGAGAGAGATTGAACGATCAATCGATTGAGTTTAATCGATTTATTTGCTGCGATTCAAGCAAAAAATAATTATTATCATCTGCATAAGCACAGAGTGAACAAATTATGAAATCATACCTGTGTAGTAGGCCACAAATCAATCTAATTCACTTTCAACGAAAATAAAAAAAAAACATTAGAATTCAATTCATCAATGAATAAATTGTTTGTAGTCAATCATTTCATTCATTCATTCATGTTCAATCTTGACAATGATAATCAAGAACAATACAAAAATCAAAAAAATCCAGTTTTCAATTTGAAATGATCAAATTGCAAAAGTGAAATAGTGAAAACAAAAATCAAATTCACTTTTCATCAATATAAACAACATGAAATTGGTGGAGAAAATTTTTGATCAAATAAATTTTCAATGAAAATTGTTTTTTGTTGCTTTTGGAAAAAAAATTATATGGAAAAAATGCATTCAGAATAAATCAACAACAACAAAAAATTCATTGTAAACAAAAACATTTTACATTTGAATCAAATTAGAATAATTTGATTTATCCCGCGCGTGCATATGAATTATTGACGATGTTTTGTGTGTGCGTGTTTTTGGAAAATCAGGAGTGGATCAGGGCAAAATGTGGATTAAAGAAGAAAAATGCTAAATTAATTTGTGCATAATCAATGCAAACAGAGTGGTGGTGATTTATAATTAATTTCAATCCAAATTGAACAGATTAATTTTACAAATTTTGTAAATTTTACCAAAATGGATAAAGTTTTGTCCATTCGAATGTCATCATTTTCAAACAAAACAGAATAGCTAACTATTTTTAGTTGGCAACAAAAAAATTCATTGCTTGCTTATATATTGGCCAGGGACCGAATGAGTTAACAAAATCTAATTACTTTCATTTGATATTTATATAAATTTTCCTTCAATTTCTCATCACATATGGATGTTTGCATTTTGCATTTTGCATTTTCCATAATCAAGATGATCATCATCGAAAACATTTACTGTAAATGAACTGACAAGATTATGACCGAGGTTTTCACTGTGAATAAATTCAATTCAAAAAAAAAAAATTGATAATATTTTTTGAAGAAGATTTTGTGGCATAAGGTGAAGATTTTGTATGAGGTTATTTTAAACTTTTTTTCGTTGAGGGATACGAGTTAATAATTTAAATCAATCAATGGGCTTCTGTTAGCAAGCAAGTAAGGACGATGAAATTTTTTTTTCAAAGTCTCATCATCCATATGATCAATGTTACAAAAAAAATTTGTGTCCTGTAAATGGAATATCAAATTTTTCCATTTTTCAATTTTTTCAATTTAAACATTTTCTTTTTCTGGACAAAAAAGGTAGCGTAATGAAAATGAAAATGAAAAAATGAAAAATGAAATTCAATCAATCGATTGATTGTTACTTTCAACATAATGATCGACAAATTCGTGAGTTATGTTATGTTTTTTTTGTTGTTTGAATGATGAAAACTTACCAAAAATGATGTAATAAGTCATCATCATGTGTAATATGGATGCTTTTGTAATCATTTTGATCCGGTTATTGTTGTTGTTGTTGTTGTTGCTGGTGTTGTTATTATTACCAACAAATAAATGATAATTTCTTTTAATCATCATTCACCATTTGATGTATCTTTAAAAGCAAAAAAAAACCGAATTTGACACAAACAAAAAAACTTTGAATTTTCTTATAAACTTTTTCAAAATTGTCGTCGTCGAACCCGAAAAAAACAAAACAAACGAATTTGGCTGAGTTGATTATTGGCATTCAGAATATGTTATGTCAAACAACCAAAAACATCAGAAATTCAAATAAACAATGATTCCAAGTCAACTTGGAAACTAAACAACATCAGGATCAGATCGGATATGTTAATAAAACTAACACTAAACACTATCACTTTCGACTTTCAGGATGGATCTACCACTAAAGAAAAGAAAAAATATAAAGAAAAAACATTCAGAAAAGCAAGAGAAATGTTTTATCAAACAGCTAACTTGAACATTTTCTCTTCTCTGTGTTTCTGGATGTTTCTCTCTTTTTTATCAATTCCAAAAACGAATGAACAAACGAACGAAAACTAAATCATCGCATCGTTAAAATGTTAGCGAAAGTTGTTGGCGCCTAAAGTAACATGGAAAAAATCAAAAATTGATTGATAAGAGACATTTCCAATCACCAATTGCCGGAGCAAACCTGTTCCTTCTCAAAACTATAGATATCTGTCTATCTAGCTATCTATAATCGTCACCAAAAAACAAAAAAAAGATGATCATAGGTGAACTGATTCACTTCAAATACTTTCTCCTTTCATCAATCAAATAGATCATCATAACCGTTACATTTCGAGCGATACATTTTTGATTCAAATTTAGAAAAATATCAATTTACTAGGTGTTTGTGTGTGTGTGTGTGCGATATATATCTTCAAATTCAATCATGTTAATTGTTTGTTTGTCATATTTCAGATTGATAATGATCGTCACAAATCTAGAATCATTTTTTAAAAAAAATGAACAGAGAGAACGCCTTAGAAAACACACCTTTACACAAAAGACCAGTAGCAAAATTGTTGTTGTTGTTGAAAATTTGATTTTTGATTTTTTTTGTTGAAAAATGTTACAAAAAAATTTGTCGGAACGTAGCTGATGCTGAATTGTATCATTTTTTTCGCTTTAAATCACGAACTTTTCACACCCGTTCAGTCGATTTTGTTGTTTTCTTGACATTCGTTTGATTCATTTGAAACATTCGTTCATTATCGTGAAACAAAAAAAGGAGGCTCGAATCTGATTGTAAGAAGAATTTTGCATTGTTTTTTCTCGTTCCAAACATTGTAAATGTCATCAATAATTAGATTGTTATCGATTTGAACATTCGAATGGATGGCTATTTCGATCCACCTACAATCGATCTGTAATTAGTGAAAAAACAAAAAATTTGTTGTTTTGGGGGAATCTTGATGATGATGATGAAATCGATCGATCGATTACCAATCGATTGATTGCTGATTGCTTACATCTGTCTGTCTGTCTGTCAATCTATTTATCTATTAACACATCAATGTTGTTGTTGTTGTTGTCATTTTGTTATCTGAATCGTTGATTTAATCGTAACTATTTTAACTTACTTACATATCAATCATTTTGTCATTTGATAACAATTGAGAATTTGACTATTTTGACAGCAAATGTTTCGTTTTAGATATAGAGATATTTTCATTTTCATCATTAATCGAAAATGTCGGTCAAATCATTGTTATTATCAGTAATTAAATCCATTACAAAACAATGTTGTTAACACAATGTTCCTCCACTCATGATAGAGTTGACTTGATGAATGAATGAATATGAATTTCACATCGTTATCATTCAAAAAAAATTTTCTCATGGAATGTTGATGCGAGAAGGTGTGTGATTCATTTCAAAATAGGATGAATTTTGTTGTAAAGAAGATTCAATAAGAAAAATAACAACAATATTACATCGGGTAAAACAAACAAATGTTCAAATTTGATTAACAAAAATTCGAATTAACGTTTTTCAGTTCGATTTTTTTTTTCGGTATATAAATTCGAATGTCAAAAACTTAAGGATTAATTTTGTATTTTTTTTTTAATTTCCTGTAGTTATTTGAATTTGAGTTCCAAAGTATTTCTTATTTTTGTTTTCTAAAAAACTCCAAACGTAAAAATGATTTTTTTCGTAATTTTCTTCAGTGGTTGTTTGTCAATGTTTCCGATGGCCGAAAATCTTCAAATTATCAATTTGGATGATGTAAATGCTACAAAAACTAAATTACCTGATGAACAATGTAAGATTCCGGTTATTTTCTCTAATTATAATTTACGTTTTTGAATTCTTTTCGTTTTTTTAATACCACAGTTCCTCCACACGTTTGGATACCAATCGAACAGATCAGGTAGGCTAATGGAGAAAAAAACAATTCATTTTTATAGTTTATTAATTATAGTTTGTTTAAAATAATATGTTTTTATAGTGCATCAATTGGTTCGAATATAACATTGAATTGTTTGATTGAAGCAAATCCACTTTCATTAAATTATTGGACATTTGGATCAAAAAGTATTAATGTAAACAACAACAAAAACAACAGCAACAGCAGTAGCAACGAATCCAAATATAAAATATCGATCAATAAAACGGCGAATGATAAACATAATCTTAGATTATCCATACAATCTTTATCATTTGAAGATGTGGGACATTATCAATGTCATGCTAATAATTCGTTAGGACATCAAATGAAACAAGTTGAAGTTCATGGTAAGTCAAATTCTTACTTACTTTCTTTTTGTTGTGGTGTTCATTCAATTCTTGTTGTCACATTTCCTTTCTTCATATAAAAATAAAGCCCACAATGACCAAGAGCAACAACAACGTAAATCAAAATGGAAAATAAGTGATCATATACATGTTCCATCGTTAACCAAACGAAAAGAAGATTCATCAATAACATTTGATCCATTGACAATAGATAATGACCAATCAGAACAACCAAAAGAAAAGAAAATTAAACTTAAATGGGGACAGGTTCCGTTTAAAAATACGTTACCAAAAAGAAGGAAAGGACAAATGGATGAAGATAAATATAAAGATAGGGGTGATGTAAATTATAAATTACGAAATAAAAACAAACGACCACAACCAATAGATGATGATAAATATAAAGATAGGGGTGATGTAAATTATAAATTGCGAAATAAAAATCGACCAAAACATTGATTGAAAAAAAAGATGAATATGGATGACCATTTAATAAAATGACTGTGTGTGTGTTCAACATGAAATGGTCTTGATAATGATGTCATTTTTTTAAAACTTTTTTTTCAATTTCTCGGTAACTTCGTAATTAAACATTTAGATTTTTTTTGTTGTTGAATTTAAAAAAATTGTAAATCAAAAACAGAGTAATGCATTAAGGAAGTTCGCTTAAAAATTGTCTCCTAAAATTTGGCTTCGAAGAAAAGATGAGCGAATTTTTTTTCTTGAAAAAAAATTCGAATTGTGATTTCGGAAATTCGAATGTTTTTTTTCCAATTCGAACGTCAAAAGCCAAAAAAAAAAACATTCGATAACACTTCTATTTTGCAGTGTGCACACCCTCAGTTAACATGTTGGAAAATAAACGTGCCAACCAAAAATGATGTTTATTCGCGTGTTTTTTTCATTCATTCATTCATTCGATTTGTTTTGTTTTGTTTTATTTTATCAACCAAATGCCACAACATTCACAAAAAAAAAGTATTTTGTATCAATTTCTTTAATCTGTTTCTTTAATCTGTTCCCCAAAAAAAGCCATCTGCTTAAAATAATTTAATTATAAATTTTAATTTGAAAATAATCGATGTAATTGGCAAAAAATGAGCCAAAACACGTGTATTTCTCGATGGACAACACCAATTTTTTTTCTTGTTTGCCTTTTTGTTATCTATGGTAGATAAACGTTTGTAAAATAGATAATAACGTCAAATTATCAACTTTTAAAAAAACTATAAACAGTATGGAAAGGAAGGGAGATAAACAACAACAAGTAAGTGAGCAATTGTCGCTCGTTCATATGGTCCAGTTTTTTAATTCACTTTTCTAAGTCCACTAATTTTATTTTTCTTTAAAAATTTTTTTCACTTCCAAATATAATGATATGATTATGATTGACGTATGATGGAAGAAATGAAATGAAAAAAAACGTTTAAATTGTTTTTTGTTTGTTCCATTGAAAAACATGAACAGCAAACTTTTTGGACAAGTTGGTGTATTTATTATCTTTTTTGGAAAGAGTGAAAAGAGAAAAGGATTAACAGTGGCCGCTTGCATCCAAACGAACGTGGTAAATGTCAAACCTCAATGGTTTTTTTTTCGTTTCAAAAAAGATGTTTTCATTTTTGAAAATAACAACAACAACAACAACATTCATTTTCAAATTAACGTAAGTTTTTTTAGAAGCTAAAAAAATATTAAACAAAAGCACATCTATATAATGACTTCCTTTTTTTCCTCCATCATCATTGTCATTTGCTTTTCCTCCACCATCATTTAATCTAATCTAGTCTAATTACCGAGCAATTTCAAAAAAATGATTTATCCGAAAATTTTTGAACGCTTTTCTCTCCTCCTTTTTTTTGAAAATAACGTTTATGTAAATTATACAAGAAGAATTACATAACTAATTCCGTTATTCATCGTTATGGTTGTTGTAAAATCTAGATGACAAGCAATGAAAGTAATTGGTAACACTAGGTTTGGCTTTTCAATAAATTACATAACGTGTGCCAGTTGTATGATTATTATTGTCATCATAATGAACTGATAATGGTAAAGTTTTCTCGAAGAAAAAAAAAGAGTTAAAGACTTTGGTGGCCATCAATTTGAAAAATGAAATGAAATAAAGTTATTTACTGTGTTAATGATGTGATTTTCGTATTCGTTGTTCGGTTTTTGATATAATAACAATATCTACATGTAGATTATGTGGCCTGTAGCCAAATGAAATGAAAAAATGAAAAATCAAAGTGCAAAAATTGAATTGCAAAACCAATCAAATTGTCAAATTCAAACCATCAGATAATAATAATTCATTCATTCAGTAACGATTCGATGACAATAATCATTATTATCATCATTAAATGTCCATACCGGAAGATATTTTTTCATTTTTTTTTACTTTTTACCATTAAAACGATAACGAAGACATATTGTACATTTCATGATATCTATGATTGATTGAATTGAATTAATTCAATTACTAAAAATGATCTTTATGTCCGAAAAGATTTACAATCCGAAAATCGATTTCAGGAAAAACAGAAAAAACATCCACACAAACAGCGAATTGATTGACTAAAAACCACATGTCAATGTCAATTCAGTGTTTGTAATTCAATTTCGTCTATTAATTACCTTTGCTCTCATTTTGTTTTGTGTGGAACAGTTGAATTCGGCTAAATTCAAAGTTGCTAACCTCGAAGAAACAATTTTTTTTTCATATTTGAAATCGAGCAGGATAGAATTGTTGCTTAATTCATTCGAATTGAAATCGAAAAACAATAACAAAGAAACCAAATATTCAATAATAAAATCAAATTAACAAACATTATTTGACTATCCAAAACAAAAACTATCAATTAAAAAAAATCTGTATTGTGAAAGGGAAGTTTGTTTGAATGTTTTTTGGATGATTCAAGCAAGGTCAGTTTAGCCATTTTATTAATATCCACAAAAAAAACAATACCGTGTGTCTCTGTGTGCATAAACTTAATTATTTTATCAATCCAATCGAATCATTTGTGTACAATGAAACTAATTCAATAGAACAAAAATAGCAAAAATCAAAACAAGAATGATGATTTCACAAACACACGTAAAATAAGACAATGACAAACAAATTTGATTTCAAATTCAAATTTTACATAAAGAAAATGATGATCCCGAAAATAAAGAAATATCATTGTCTTTGTGTTCAATGTGTGAATTAGTTCGTTTTTTTGGTAATCTTTGATCCACACTATTCAAATAAGTCTTAATTTTTTTGATTTTTTGTTTATTACCTCGATGATAATGATGTTAATAAAAAAAACAACAGAGATGGATTTTTTTCGTTTTTTTTGACTAAAATTAAATCCATTATCATGAAATTTGACAACAAACAAGCAACAAGCGAACATTACCATTGAAAACACTATTTACACATTTAATCCTTTAGCACTTTTGTCTTGTTTCCAAAATATTACATATATGTTATCAGTGAATAATTTACAACTAATAACAACGACGACGAATTACAACTCGATAAATCGATTCTCTAACCACGTACGTAAAAAAAACAATACAATGTTGTTCTTCATCATCAAAAATTCAATGTTAAAAGTGAAAGTAAAAGCGAAAAAAGACTAAGATGATAGTGACCTAGCGATGGCATCATAATATAATCGTGACTTATGATTTTTAGTCGTTGATTATGATCATCATCATTTACGAAAATCAAATTTTCCACTAATTCATTTTGGTCATTTTTTTTGTTTTTTTCTTTGAACAAATTTTTATCAAGTTTTTTTTTATTAATTTAAAAAATATTGATTGAATTCAACCAATCAATCACGCACACAATGTTGTCGACATTGAAAATTAATAAATTTTTTGTTTTTCGTTTTGTTTTTGATTAGCCATTTCATTACTCGAATGACGTTTTTGTAAATGACGTTTTTGGATCAATCAAACTGGACAAGGTTACAGGAATGGAATGGATGAATGACTGAATCGATATTTATTTCATTTAAAAAAAATGTTGATTAATGTTGAATAATGGTGAACAACAAACAACAAACATCATTCAGCAGACAGAGGAAAGCAAAACGAAATTCACAAATCAAAAAATCAATTGATAGACAGGATTAAGGAATGAACGCAAGCAAACATTAACAAACATTGGGCGTCGTTTTCTTTCTTTTCGTTTTTGATATTGGGCGATGGCAATGACGTACAGGATCATTCTCGGGCATCATACACACACCTTGTGTGGCATTTTGTTGTTTATCTTGGCCAATATTAAAAAAAAAATATTTTCATCTGGATAATATGAATATTAATCAAAACAAAGCAAAAAAAAAATTATTGATTAATCGATCGATAGATATATTTTTATCCCTTTCGTATCTTTTACACAAAAATCAAAAAATATCGATAGTATCGATTGTTAAAAATCGATGATGATTTTTCAATTAAAACAAAAATCGCGATTACGTAAATCGAGTTTTCTATTTCAATTTTTTTGTTTTGTTTTTCGTTAATTACTTTTTTTTCTATCATTAAATCTCATTATAATCATCATCATCACCTGTTTCGGGTGTCAAAAGTCTGAACAAACATAGAAGTTTGCTTGTTTTGTTTCTCGTTTTTTTCGTTTTCTTCGTTGTCACTAAAATAAGTAAAAGTTTTTTTGTTTTGAAAATAAAATGAAATGATAATAATGATTGTCTGTAGTAAATCTGATGTTTTGTTTTGTTTTGTTTTGTTTGTCTTTTTTAAAAGCATTTGATTAAAATACTTTTTTTGGAAAGAAAAGATTATCCTTTGTCAATTTCCTTTGTTTTTTTTCAATTCTTATATCGATAACGAAAAAAACCGAGGCTTACACTGCTGTATAATCCTTCAAAGATTTTTCGTTGAAAAAATATGTGTGTGGTCTTTGTCCATGTTTGTGTTCGAAACACTTGTTGCTTGTTGTTGTTTCTCTCACACTAAACATTCACACGCTTCTACACATCAAAGACAAAAATGAAAGAAATTATTACGTAAAAAGTATCGATATCAAATGTAAAAAATCTGGATAAATTAACAACGGTTAGCAAATCAAATTGGAATAATTCACACGTTTTTATATCGAATATATCTACAGTGATGCTGAGATACACACAACGCACACCCATTATTATTATTATTATTGTAATGAATGAATTTTCATCATTTATTTATAAATTATAATTTATAATGATGATGAGAATGATAAAAATAATGTATTTATTTATTTATTTATAAATGTACAAAAAATGAATTTACAAAAAAAGTTTTGTTAATTAGGGCGTTATTTTTGTTGTTGTTGTTGTTGTCGATGTCGATGGTGATGATGATTGATAACTGAATGTAATTCATTGAATTTTTTGTTAAAAGAAAATTATTGTTGTGCAATTCAACATTGATTTCAGTGTTCAGTTGTGTTTGCTGTGTGTTTTACCCTGGTTGTTTGTTTAAACCTTGAAACCTGGAAAACTTTATTTAATTAGAAAATTTAACCATTGATAATAATAATAATAATGAATTTTTAATTTTAGATCAATCAATCAATCAATCATTTAGTAATGAATTTGTAATAATAATTATAATTATAAATGTACATGAATGCCTAACAAATATACAATAGGTAGATAGATTTAATGAAAATTTATGTACAATTTTATATGGAAAATAATGAGACTAGATTATAATTTTTGATTATAACGATCTATGGATCCAATAGGGAATGTATCATATCTTGGAATGTAATTTGATTGTGGTACCAAGCTTATTGATAATGAATTTTTATATTCAAATTGTACGACAGGTATTTTTAATGCTTCTTCATCATCATCATCCGATTCATTTTGTCGTAACCAATGTGTTTGTAGATTTGCTGATGAAAATGTTATGAATGAAAATATACCAATACCCATTATTATGGCACCAGAAATAAACAAACAACGCCATAAACTAATTGATGTTGGTGATGGTGCAATTACAATACCAACTAAATATGGTACAACAAAACCACTAATCGAACATATTGTATTCATTAGAGCAAATACGGTTCCCGAAATTGGACCACTAATATCAACAACTGATGGTATATCACCACCCGATGTAAATCCATAACCAAGCATTAATGCAGCCAATAGAAATACATTTGGCCATTTTGATAAACCAATTTCCGATATTAATATTAATGATACAATCATCATCAAAGCGGATATAAATTGAAATAATTTTCGTACAGTTCCAGTTTTCAATGAAGAATTTTTGATTATATAATCAGCAATCATACCACATGATAATAATGTTCCCATATAACCAATCATAATGAATGAAAATGAAATACCAGTTTCATCAACAGGTAAACCAATTACACTTTGTAAATAGGCAGGGATTTTTTGACTAACAAAATCAAAAACAACACCATAACAAATTTTTGTTGTTAAAACACCAAGAAATATCGGTGATGTTAAAATATTTAACCAATATGGACTAATATTTTTTGATTGATTATCTTGTTGTTGGTTTTGTTTATCATTGGCTAATAAAACTAGTTCTTCTTTTGTTATTAATGGATGATCTTCAGGATTTGATCGAACAAAACTAATCCACAATAGACTCCATAATAATGCCAAAACACCTGTTTAGATTAAAAAACAAAAAAATTGATTGATTATTATACTGTTCAGTATTGATTGATTGATTTGTAATTGATTACCTGAAAAATAGAATACAACTGGCCAACCACCAAAACTGGAAAAATAAAGGATTATTTTTCCGGATGATGCCGATATTAATATTGTTCCCATAATACTACCAGCATCTAACCATGGTACAAATGTACTACGTTCATTTGATGGAATCCAACGTGAAAATAGACAATAAAATGCTGGATAAACAACTCCTTGAAATGCTCCCAATAAAATACGACTACAAATGAATAATAGCCATGAATTTCTAGCCAAAAATGGTGTCATTAAGTTAATAATTCCCGATGATGATAAAGCAATGAATATAAGTTTATCCGGTGGTAAATATGATTCAGCTAAACGTCCTCCAATAACTTGTGTGGATAAATAGCCTAATTGGATTGAAACAAAATTGATTAGCATAAGTTGTTTAATGAATTTGATCAAAAACAAACATACCATAGAAAAATGATCCAAGTATAATTCCTTGTTGTGGAGGAGTCCATTCAAATTCACCATTACCATTTGTTTCTAATGGAATTGGTTCAAGTATCATTTGTTGATTAATAACAGCCGGTGGATTTGTAAGTAAAATATTGGCCGATGAATTGGCCAGCATTTCAATTGTTTTCAATGCCGGATCTGGTTCTTTTGATTGTACCATTGCCAAAATTGCAATATTTAGATTTACACGAGTTATATACATAATGGATGTGCCCAACATTGATAATAAAGCAATCAATACCCGTATCGAACATAATAATGATGGTTTTGGTTCTTTATATTCATCCAAATATATATGACTAAAACTTGATAGTTGACAATAACGCATGATTGTCGATTTTGTTTGTTTGTTTGAAAACTTTATGATGAATTACGATTTCTTCAATGATGATGAAAATCAAATTATTCGATAACGGAATAATTGATGCTGATGTAAAGAAAAGAATAATTTGATTGTTTAATGACAAATGTTTATTATATCCATTTGTCGTTTGAAAAAAAAGTTGATGATTATTTGCGTATTTCGAACTGTTGTTGAATGAATGATGTTTGAAGAGCGACCAGTCTATTTTATACTTGACTTGATTGATCTAAACATCTAAACGATGTTTGAATACTTTGACATTTCTAATTATCAATAACCGAAAAATGATGATAATATTTTTTTTGTTGATTGATATCTAATATTTCAACAAACCTGGTAGTTAGTCAATATCAAATCAACACCCTTCATTCAATCAATCAATATATCAACAACAGTAGCAGGAAGGCTGCCAATAATCTTATGATTATGATGATGATATAGGAAATTTTTCCTTTTTCTTTAATTCATTATCAGAAGACATTTATAAATTATCAAATTTTATCCTATTATAAATTTATCCAAACATGGTTCATCATTTATCGCCATCATCATTATCATCATTATTCAAGTCTTATGACTTTGGGGAAGACATTCTGTGATTGTTGTTGTTTGTTTGATTGATTGATTATTGTTGCTAAATATTTATTTTTTTATTTTATTTCTATTTCTAAATAAAACAATCAAATGACGATTCAATGATAAAAAGTTTTTTTTTGTTTGTTTCCAATCACAAATCAATGATCCTGGTTATTTCAATTTCAACTTTAAAGAATTTTTTCAGCAATAAAGCAATTTGTTTTTTTTCCAACAAATTCTGAACATTTTATCCTTGAAATTTCAAATCTTTTCAAAAAAAATATGACGTAAACATAACATATAAATCAAAAAATGGTTAAAAACTAATTTAGAAAACCAAAGAAAAAAACAAAATTATGACCTCAATTTTTGCCTTTTCCAATGTTTATATAAAGAATCAAGAATCGATTTAAAATTGATTGAATGAATGATTTTCTTCGCACACAAATCAATCATTTTAAAATTGAAATGAATTTCGATTTTTATTGCTTGTTTTTTTCGTTCTTGTTCCCAGCTACCAGATACACATCCATAATGATGATTTTTTCCTGATGATAACTCTGGATGGTATTAAGATTTTTGTTTTGTTTATGGAAAAAAACAGATTTTCAATATATATCAAGAAGGGGAGGAGGAAGGGGTATGAACACGAAATACAGTGGTAATTCGTTTTTTTTCTCATTTTTTTTTCATATTTGGTGATACGGTTTTTCCCCATATTGGAATTGTGTAATCAACAACGTCATCATCATCGTTTATCAATCGTTTAAAATCAAGAAAAATTTTATCAATTTTTATGATTTCATCAAATCAATTTCCGGCCAAATTCCATGGAATTTTTTCCCATTATCACTTCTTTGTTCTTCTTGGCAAATTCCAATCACAGTAAAGCATTCAATGTGATTAACGGATTAAGTTTTTTTTTGTTCTCTCTGGTAACTGTTTAACTCCTGTTTTGATTGATCTTCGAATCTGGTTTAGCCTAGTTTTTTTTTTGAATTTTTCTGCACCAATATGCTCCATTTTTGATTCTTCTTTTTTCATTATTGATTATCAATTTTAGAAACAATAAGCGATAAGTGTGAATATTTTTGGTTTATTTCTCCTCCTTTTCATTGGTTAAAGATGACAACTATAAAGACTAATTTTTTTTTTGTCATTTGAATCATTCACTAAACCAGTTTGAAGCGGTTTGCCAAAGTCACAAGATCTACCCAAAGCAAAAACAAAACCAAAATCAGACCAAAACATTTATTTATTCAATTTTTTATCATTGGAATTTTGTATAAATATAGTTGACAGTTGATATATATTCATAATATTTTTGGTTTGACATCCAATGAAATAAACAAACATATCCACGTGCATGAATACAAATCGTGAAAATGTATTGCAAATTGAATTTTGTTTGTTTGTTTGTTTTATTCATATTTGGACAAAATCAATTTTATGAAAAGGTCACAAGATTTTTCTTACAAAATTCATGACGATTATGTGCCAATCAGTAAGAAATAGAGCTGCTGATAGTGCTACCGATTGATTGATATGAAGGGTTCGATATAAATGATTGGTTGAGGGTGATAGTGATGGTAAATACAAACGCGTCATAGATTTGTTTCCGTTCAAATCCATTTATAGGCAAAAATTTTGATTAAAAAATGTACTCAATTTTCCATTGATTAAACTGGAAAATCAAAATATTGATAAAGCTTTTGAATAGACAAGAAAGAGAGAAAAACAAAAAAAACTGGATGAAACAAAGTATAATCATTACAGTAATATGGACGAATATAACAGATTTATGAATGGACAACAAACAAACAAACAACGAAAAAATAACAATATAATCGATGACAAGAAAATTCGGTAGTCATAAAATAATTGTAATTAATATCCCCTTTATTTAATGATTTTTATAACAAAATTAAGATTATAATGATAATGATTGGTTGATTGATGGATTACAACATACAACACACATATTTTTGATGTGGTAAATAAGAAAATTAAATTAATTGGCTAGTTTCGTTTGATTTGTTCAATATTTGGTCCATTACGTCCAACATCGATATCGATACCACAAATTTTTCGTAATTTTTGTTTATGTTGATCTTCATTTTTACGAAATGATGTCATAATTTGCCGAATACCTTTATCACTAATATATTCTAAATCGATTAATTGAACAGTATAGGCATTCCTTAATCGTGCAATTGCATTCAAACTTTGATCAGTAATCGATGCTCGTTTTATTGAAAATACTTCTAATAATGGACAATAAATATCAATTTTATTGATTGATAAATCAGTTAATGATGAACGACAACCAAATATTGATGATGCTGCATGCAGATATAATTCACGAAATTTTAAACCACATGATTTTAATATTTCCAATATTGAATAATCATCTAGGGAACTTTCCGAATCAAAATCATCAATTTCTTCGATCAGATACAGACATTCTAATTCTTTTAGATTAGCTAAATGTGTGAAAATTCCTTGTTTATATTTTCCAAAACTTTTGAATATAATTTTTAATGAAATTAAATTTTGAAAATGATTTCCCAATATTTTATATGGCATTGATGGATTAAAACAATATCCAACATTTAGTTCAAGTTCAATAATATTTCGTCCTTTTCCTTGCAATAGGCCATCCAAAACACGTACATTTTGATTATAATCCGAAACAATTGTTTCAATACGATCGGAAATCCATTCTAAACATGTTCCTTGTAAACGACAAAAATTATTTGCAATATTTAAATAATTTAATTTATCACATGATTTTATAATCAAACGTAAACAATTTTCATCAATACGACAACCAGAAACATTCAAGGAAATTAATTGTTGACCATAATATTTTGTCAATTGATAGAAATCTGATTCGGTAAGGCCAACACAATTGGACAGGTCAATATTGATTAGATGTGGACAATGACGATATGTTCGTAGTATTAGATTTACTCCATATACATCTAAAAAATTATGCTTTAAACCATAACGATACCCTATGGTGAAATGGAGAGAAATGAAATAGATAAATAGACCATTACATAATCAGAATTGTATTGTTTAGTTTTTCAAATCATTCATCATAATATTGTGTGTGTCATATTTCAACGAATTGAACTCAAAATGAAAAATGATATCAAAATGAAAATGAATAAAGTCATTTTGTCGTCGACTTTTGTGGTGTGTTGACGTCGACAAAATGAAATTGAAAAAAAAAACAAAAACAAAAAAGCAAAACGATAACGAATGGCTTGACTTGTGTTCAACAAACATATCTTTGTCTGTTGTGTGTGTGTGACACAAAATTCAACACCACCATTACAGGGGGCATGAAACAATATTTATAAAAATTCATTTTGTTCCGCGATCTATATAATTTTTGTTTTTTGTTTTCTACTTTATATAAAGTTCATTAATCTTGAAAAAACAACCAAAACTCGAAATAGACTTTTGTTTCTCGTTGATATCGAGAATTTTGAATAAGAAGCTTACCTTCAGCATATTTTAATATTCGTAATTTTGGTAATTTAGATAGGATTCGTTCAAATATATTTAAACGAATTATATCGGTATAATAATCATCGTTATAATTTTGTCGTATTTGGTTGCTTTTATCAGCAGTTTTTGTTTGAAATGATGTTTTTAATTCATCATAAATAGCCTGACAATCTGCACAACGATAATCATTGAAATTATTTCGGTGATCCAATAGATCGATAACAGAATCGGATGATGATGTTAAACTTGTTTGTGATGCTGAAAGGCTTGAACTTGAACTTAAATTTTCACTGGTTGTTGTTGATGATAGACCAGAACTTTTTGATTCAGCATAATTTCCTTGTTCATCACGATCAAAAGAAATTTTTTCATTCATAATAGCCTGGCATTTTTCACATGAATAATATGTATTTAATGGTAATGATATTGATTGAATTTGATTATCAATTTGTTCATCAACTTGTTCATTATTATGTTGATTCAATGAATTATATTGTTTACCATAAGCAAAATATGTACGTTTAGCCAAATGAAATTTAACACATTCATTCCAAAATGAACAAACTAATTGACAATTTATTAAATCATTAAAATCAATATAATCAAATATTTTGGATAAACAATAAAAATTTAATGATTTTATTGTACGTATTGGAAAACGTGTTGGAAGTGTTGAATTTGATGATGATGATGATAATGATGCTAACATATAATATGGTGTTGTTTGTGATCGTCGTTGATATAATAATTGTTTACGACTTAATTTTCGTATTGGTTTGGATATTTCTGATTCCATTTGTTGTTTTTCATTATACATTGTTTGTTTGTTTGATTGATTGATTCGAAGATTTTTGAAGAAAAACAAAATCGATCAATAAAGATTGAATTTCTTTTTCATTGAAAAACAAAAAAATTCACGCTTTGATATTAGACAAACATCGACTGTCAAATAAAATAATAAAAATCTGTCGTGTTGAATTTCCTCGATGCAAATATAATTCAAAATATATTCTGTAGACAACAACAGATTTGAAAAGAATTCACCGAATTTATATATTCGCACACACACAGACACAGACACTATGCATAAATATAGAGCAAAATAATTCTGATGCCAGAATTTTTTGTTTCAATCATATCATCAAACATGATTCGTTAAATGAATAGCAACAGTTATTCATTTTGCATCAACAACTGATGAAATTAAAGTTGCCGGTATTAGAGAATTTAAACGACGTTAATGATGATGATCATGCATTTTAGCATTGAAGATTCTTTTTTTCTTTCTATTCTGTTTAATCAATTAAATGATACAGTTCAATGGCAAATTGTGCAGACATTTGTTTTTTCAGTTTGTCTTATATATACAGTACGTCATAAGATTCATTAATTATTTTCAAAAAAATCAAATGTACATGTACATTTTGGCTCATTAGTTGGAAATATTCATTTCATTCTGGGGTATTAAACAGAAAAAAATCATCTAAACAACATTCATGATGTAATTTGCATTGAAATGTATTGAGTTTTTCTATAAAAAAAAATTACCATAAGGTTACCATATTGGTTTGCAACCAAATAAATCATGTTAACCGACAAATTTTCAACAACAGCAACCATGGTTAATCTGAAAAAAAGTTCATTGAATGTCAGTAGATACTCAAGATGAATTACCCACTATCTACAGATTAAGCATGTACATTTTTTGCACTTTGTATTCAGAATAATCATTGTATTCGGGAAAAAAAGTAAAGGATTCGGTTATTATTTAACAATAAACCGGAACATGTATCTTTTCGAAAAAAATAACGAACGTTGTTTCATGAACACTATTCCATTCAATGTTCTTCCTGATTCAATCGTCATTATTTTTTTCAAAAGTTTTACAATTGTCAACTTATCATCAGAAAAATTATCTACACACTGTCATCATCATCATCATCAGCGACAAATGTTGATGACTTATTTTTAACCATTCATTATTTTATTTTCCAACAGAGACTGTCTTTTTTCTTTTACTTTTACGGCAGCCATTCAGAAAATAATCAACACTATCCTGTTATATTCATGGTATCTGTTGTAAATGAACAATGGATCAGCTTATCACATTCTCTTCCTTGAATTTCTTTCATTTGATTCAATTTTCAAGATAAAAATTTGAACAAAAAAAAGATGTTCATTTTTTTTTCTGAAATTTGTCAATTCATTCTTTATGACAATCGACGAACAACAACAGCAAAAAAAAAAATTGCTGATGACCATCTTAGATTCTCGAGAACAAATGTAGTCTGTTGTTGTTCGTTTATAATGAGAAAAAGATAATCTCAAACAAAACAAAACAAAAAATGTTCATTCTTTTTTATTGTTTGAAGTTCTGTTCTTTGATATTCATTCCTTTTTTTAAATCTTCATTTCATTTGTTTGTTTGTTTGTTATTGGTAAAATTGTTTTTGGCAACCGCCAAAAACGTATCGTATTTATTGACATTGACACCGATTCTTAAATAAATAAATATGAATAGAATGGAATGGAATGGATGGATAGAATTTTCAACATGTCAGTCATCAGAAATTATCATCAACAACATCATTCTTGAATGATTATAATCGAATCGATTCATCTTCATAGTGATTAATGTCATGGTTTCTTTTCTTTTCTTTCATTCATTCATTCATTCGCTTTCTTCGAAATGAAAAAAAAGGGATTCCTTTATTGCTTTTCTTCATTCATCCATTCATTCATTCATTTCGTCATTGTGTTGGGCGCAATGTCACCAATCTGTATTCACAAAAGAAAATATTTTGATTTTTATCATGATGAATAATCGTTTTGGAAAATTATTTCATCGATTTCGGATTATTGCAATGAAAATTTTTCATTGAAATTGATTCTTGCAGAGAAAAAAACAAACACAAACATTCTGAATTCGGTTGAATTTCGATTTGAAAAGAATCTTTATTTACTGATTTTCATGCAACATTAATATAATATGTCAAATTTATTTTCTGTTTTTCTGTTACATTTGTCGTCAACAACAACAATAATAAACAAGTTGATTAATCAATTCAATGGATTTATAAATAAAATGAAACAAAACACGTTCAAAACATAATCCTAAACCAAAAATAAAAAACTGAATCAACAAATTTGTTGTCTATTTTTAAATTCTTTAATCATGCAGAATTCAGTGGATTCGTATTTCTAGTTCAAGGTTTTTTGTTTTGTTTTATTAAATTTCTTTCTTTTTTTTCAAGCTATGATTTATTGTCAAACTTGATTTTTCACAAAGTCTGACTGACAGAAAATAAAACAAAATGCGTTTTGTTTTGGCAATTATTGCCATATTCGTATTAGTATGTTGAGTATCAAATGGCATTTTTTTTAAATCAATCAATCGATATTTAGATATGAGTAAAATTGATTATGGATATCATCACATTCGGATGATAAGAAATAAAACAAAAATTATCTAGCCATGCAAACAACGAGTATTGCTCGTTTTGGATAGATTTTGACAAGGTCGAACAATACAAAGACATCAATCATAAGGCAAAAAAAAATGTTAACAATCAATAGAATATTCATCAACGATATTCGTTTTCCAACTTCGAAAGAAGGTCATGGTTCGGATGCTATGGTAAGTTTACGGTAAAAAACTATTGGTTTTCCATTACAATGAATTAGTGTTTAGCACACTGATCCAGATTATTCATGTGTTTACGTACGAATCGGTATCAATCATACGGATGAAAATTTGATGGGTCATGGTTTGACATTTACAATTGGACGTGGCACTGAAGTAGTGCTGGCCGCAGCATTAGCTTTAAAACCATTGGTTTTAAACACTGATTTGAATACTGTGTTCAATTGTCCGGGTGGTTGGAAAAAATTTCATCGTCGGCTTACATGTGATAGTCAATTACGATGGATAGGACCGGAAAAAGGAGCAATACATTTAGCCACTGCTGCTATTGTCAATGCAATTTGGGATCTATGGGCTAAATTGCAATCAAAACCTTTATGGCAATTATTGGTCGATATGGAGCCCAAACAATTGGTTGATTGTATTGATTTTCAATACATGTTAGTATTTTGTCCACTGTGAAGAAAAAAAACCAATTGTTTGACTACGAATTATCCATTTTTTTCCCTTGTAGTTCTGATGCATTGACCGAGCAAGAAGCAATTGAAATTTTGAAACGTAATAGATCTTCATTGCAAGAACGAGGTATGTTTGATCTTTGATCATTGATAAAATAATTCCTTGTTTATTTTAATAGTAAAAATTATTCGAAAAGAAGGATACCCGGCTTATACTACTGGGTGAGTGTTAAGAATTATAAAAACAATAAAATACAAAGGGTAATTGAATAACAGTGTAGGTTGGACAGGATACGATGATCAAACACGTCGTCAATTATGTCGTAAAGCATTGGCTGAAGGTTATACTCGATTTAAAGTTAAAGTTGGCTCGGATAATATCGAAGATGATCGACACCGGTTACGTATTGTACGTGAAGAAATAGGCGATGATAAACTTTTGATGGTTGATGCAAATCAAAAATGGGATGTACCAGAAGCTATCGAAAGAATGAAACAATTAGTTTCATTCAATGTACTTTGGATCGAGGAACCAACCAGTAAATCAAATTCAAAATTTAAAAAAATAACTTTTATTAAAATCTATTTTGGTTTGTTTAATCAGGTCCGGATGATATCCTAGGTCATAAACAAATAGCTAGCGAATTACAACCGTATGGTATTAAGGTAGCTACAGGTGAACAATGTCATAATCGTGTTATGTTTAAACAATTCATAACATCTGGTGCTATGCAATACTGTCAAATTGATTCCTGTCGAATGGCCGGTGTTAATGAAGTGTTGGCCGTTATTTTGATGGCTGCCAAATATGGTGTACCTGTTTGTCCTCATGCTGGTGGTGTTGGTCTCTGTGAATACGTACAACATTTTTCCATATGGGATTATGTTGCAGTTACTGGAACCCGTGATAATCGAATGATCGAATACGTTCCTCATCTTGTTGAACATTTTCAACATCCAGCTCGATGTTTGAATGGACATTATATGGTTCCCGAACATGCAGGTTATGGTTGCCATATTAAACAAGAATCCATAGAAATGTATGAATATCCAAATGGTACATATTGGAAACAAGAACAACAACAACAATAACATTGACAAACTTGATTAATATATCAATTTAATACCATAGCAAAGATATTGAAGAAAAAAAACATTCGATTCAAAATAAAATAATCAAGTTATTATTTTCACTATTTAAAAAATCAATCAATTGATGATAAAGTTTCTAGAGCCAATGTGACCTTGGAAATTTCGCCAGTCAATTGTTTTCGACGATCTTCATGCGATTGTTTCACATCAACAGGTACCTTGGTATCATAATCTTGTATGGACATTGATTCCATTAGTTTGGTCATTTGTTCTTCTAGTTTTTTAGATTTTGTTTGTAGACGTTCCGTTTCTTTAATTGTATCGACTATACCCTTTAGATGTATGTAAGCTTGACAATGGTCCGATATAGGAATGATAGCACAGCCAGCAGGTGTACCGGTTTGATTCGAATCCAACATTTCGACCGGTGTGCAATAACTCAATGTCTAGATATAAAAAAAATAAGATTAAATGGATGATCATTTGCAATGAAAACAAAATCTACTCACCGAGATAGTACTCAACAAAGGACGTAATCGTTGTTCAAGATCAGCACTATTTGCATCAAAACGTATATACAAAGCTACTTTGGCTTGTTTAAGTAGATTGTATTCGGATCGTAACGAACGGACATTATGAACAATTTTTTCCATGAATTCAATATCGGCCTCTAATGAAATGTCACGTGACCATGCGAATTGTTCAATTTCTGGATAAGGAGCAATGCACAAAGAAATAGGATCAAAATCAGGTCGACGAGGCAATCTTTGAAATAACTCTTCGGTGATGAATGGCATTAATGGATGTAACAGTCGTAGACCAATATCCATTACAGTGTATAAAGTTTGACGTGCGGCTTCAGCAGATCGAGGATTTTCCGTTTCATTTTGAAAAACCGGTTTTATCGATTCTAGATAGGTGTTACAGAATTTGTAAAGCCAAAAATCATATAGGATCTGTGTAAGATCTGCGAATCGATACTCTTCGAAAGCGATCTTGATAGATTGTGTGACTTGATTAACACAGCTTAATATCCATCGATCCATTAATGATTCATCACCGGTTAATGGATTTTTATCTGGTAATGGTCGAAAATCTTGTTTCAAGTAAAGCAACGTAAACTTGATTGCATTCCAAAGTTTATTACAGAAATTTCGGTATGCTTCAATTCGCTTAATATCCAAATTAATATCACGTCCTTGCATCGTATAAGCAAGCAAACCAAATCGTAAAGCATCAGTGCCACATTCTGGAATGCCATTCGGAAAGTCAGCTTTTTGGCCGGCTATAGCTCGACCAACTTCCGATTCATTTAGATTCGAATCATAGACAGTTTTATGCAAATTCTCTAACGTAATACCATTTATCACATGTAAAGGATCGATTACATTACCCAATGATTTTGACATTTTACGACCATGTGCATCACGAATGATCGAATGAAGATAGACAGTTTCAAATGGTAGTTTGTCGTTGAGCAATAAGCTCATCATAACCATGCGTGCCACCCAAAAAAACAGAATATCTTGACCAGTTTCAAGCAATTGACCAGGATAAAAAGCTTTCAACTCATTGGTTTGTTCGGGCCAACCAAACACAGCGAATGGAAACAAAGCTGAAGAGAACCAGGTGTCGAGAACATCTTCATCTTGTCGTAACTCAATTTCTGATTCGCTAACGTTGAAAGCAGCAGCTGCCTTTTGCCGAGCTTCATCCGGATTACGACCAGAAAACCAATGCTTTTGCTGTTGAGATTCTGCATCACTATCATCCAATGGTTGGCCTTTCACCTGAGCAAAATATACCGGAATTCGATGACCCCACCAGTTTTGACGTGATATGCACCAATCTTGAATATTCGACATCCATCTTACATAGTATGAAAATAAAATGAAAATATCTTGTAGAAAAATTCGAACAACTTACCTGTTCCAAAAGTAGACATGATTCGAAGGAATAAGACGAAGTTGATTGGTGGCAACTACTTCCATTGCTCGTTTAGCAATATCTTGACAATCAATATACCATTGAAATTTAACCATTGGTTCGATTATATCCTTGGAACGTTCACATTGAGGTACGACCATTTTATTGTCTTGCCAGCCTCTGTACAAATCAAGTTTGGTCAATTCATCGATAATAGCTTTACGACAATCGAAACGTTTCATGCCAGAAAATTGGCCATAGCCAGGTGCAATAAAACCTTCATCTGTAAGCATTACCACCAAAGGCATTTGATGACGTTCTCCGATAATATAATCGTTGTTATCATGAGCTGGAGTGACTTTCATAGCACCAGTACCGAAATCCATATCCACGTATTCATCCAATACGATAGGAAGTTTACGATCAACAAAAGGATGGCGTACAAATTTACCATGTAAAGATTTATAACGTGCATCATTCGGATGAACAAGAACGGCCGTATCACCTAACATGGTTTCGATACGAGTTGTGGCTACGACCACTTCTTTAGGACCATCTGGATCAGGTTCATCGACAGGATAGGCAAAGTTATGCAATACACCAAATTCGATTTTATTTTCATAATTTGGAACTGATAAAAACGTACGACCGGTCAGTTCTAAATGTTTTACTTCAATATCCGATATGACTGAACGTAATGTACAACACCAGTTTACCATTCGTTTGGATCGATAGATAAGTTTACGTTCATGAAGACGAACAAAAGCTTCGATTACTGAACGACACATTTTTGGATCCATAGTAAACACAGCTCGATCCCAATCAACTGAAACGCCAAGAAATTTTAATTGTTCATAAATATGATCACCTTTTTCGTTTTTCCATTTCCAAACTTCTTCAACAAATTTTTCACGACCAAGATCATGACGAGTTAATTTTCGTTCACGCCATAATTTTTTCTCGACAACAATCTGTGTTGAGATTCCGGCATGATCACAACCTGGATTCCACAATGTTGTACGACCTGACATTCGATGCCAACGAGTAAGACAATCTTCGATAGCATTGGTCAATGCATGACCAAGATGTAGGTAACCAGTAACATTTGGTGGTGGTATAACCATAACAAAACGGCCACGAGGATTTGGTGTCAAAATATTCGGATTTCGGTATTCAGGTTTGAAAAATCCTGATTTTACCCACCAATCATACCAAACAGCTTCGACATATTTCGGGGAATAAGCATCGGGCATTGGATCCGAACTAACATCTTTCTTTTCGCCTTTAGGTATCGATCGTTCATATGTTACAATAGTTTTTTCTTTCTTCTTTTTTTCTTTACGACTTGCTTCCAGATCCGATTCAGCTTTAATCTTTTTTTCCTGTTCCAATTTTTCTTGTTTTGCTTTGAATTTTTCCAATTTTGCTTGTTTCGCAGCTTCTTTTTTCAATTCTTTTTCAGATTTTATTTTGGTTGGTTGTGGCGTTGTTTGATCGCCATCAGCATTGGGTTGTTGATTATTATTATCGGCCATTTTGATTGATCACCTTTTTTTTTGTTTTGTTTCGAAATTCACTCGAACAAGATAACACCACTAACTAAAATCAAAATATTAAACAATTTTTAAATTATTGCATCAGAAGATCTTTAAAAACAAGCCACGCTGTCCATTCACGATGCAACATGCAGGTATATCAGATGATAACAGAATACAATTGCCGGGAAACTTTTTTTTCAAATGGATAGATTCTTTTTTCTTTCTAAAAACATTGCCCTTATATTACCAATGTCTTGGACGATGATAATGGAAATCAACAGCATCAATTCTTGATTGACCTTGATTTCAGTGATCATTGAATAAATGAATATCAATAATTAGGCCTTTTTCATCATCAAAAGTGATTATCAATGACCAATATGACCAGAAAACCAGAATATTTTTGCAGAGAAAATCATTTTTCAACAATAACTTAAATAAGGTAGCGGGCTTGGTGTAAATGGGATCACGTTAGACTGAAGAATTAATTTGAATCCAATTTGGTTCAGATCAAATATCTGTCATCTAAAGGTACTCGGTTCGATCCCGAGAGTCCGCATTTGTAAAATATTTTTTTTGTTTTCTCATTCTCACTATTATTGGTTACGTCTTTATACGATAGATGACGTTGCCTGAAATCCAAAAGGGAAATAAATCAACTTTCGCGGGGGGAAAAAACTTGTTTTTGCTGAAATTTTTTTTTTGACTTTTTTTTGAAATTTTTTTTAACAAAAATGACGATTGCAGAGTTGAAAAAAAAATTTAAAAAAATTAAACTTTTTCTTATTTGCGGACTCTCGGGATCGAACCGAGTACCTTTAGATCACAGAAATTTATTCGAAACCAAATTTTATGGATTCAAATGAATTCTTCAGTCTAACGTGATCCCATTTACACCAAGCCCGCAATTCATATGACCAAAATACCAATGACAACTAAATTAATGCAAACAGAATTGATGGATCGATTCTTTCGCTCTATGACCAAATAAAGGATGCACGTGTCCATTTTTGCAAATACTGTCCTGGCACATGGCTGTCATAATCATTTTCGAATGTTTTCAATTCAATCAAATAATGATGATGGTCATCATTTGGAAAAATTCAGAATTATTACATCGGAAATAAATCATTTTGTCAAACTGGATGAGTGCCATCTATTCTAATTGAAAGAAAACTACGAAAGTTTGCAGTAAATTGATCATAGATGATGCTGTTAAATTCTAATAGGAAATATCGTTGCAATTGATCAGGATAATGTAAAATCCGTTTGTTTGTTTGAAATCCGAAAAAAAAGAAACAACCACGATGATGATGGCCTCGATTCTCAAACATAATATTAATGGCCATAAATGGATTGCATCCAAACTTTGTCTTTATGCATAGAAGCAGCAGCAGCAATGTAGCAAAAGATGAAAAGATTTTTAACAAAAAGTTATTTCGGGAATCGATGCCAATAGATTTTCGTTGTTGTTGTTTTTGATGGATGTTACAGAAAAAAATGTGCAATTTCTTGATTACACTATGTCACACTGTGTCGTCTGCTTTAGGTGTGTCGATTCTGTTTTTTGAATTTTTTTTTTCAAAAAAAAAAAAATTGATGAAATAGCAAACAACTGGGACAGCCGTAAATGATTGGTATGTTGCCAACAAGAATTTGATGTTTTGTTTTTGCTTTGTTCAGAGGGAAATTCATCTAAATTCATCTAAATACGTTCGGCACCAAAGACAAACTGTTGTTTTTGTTCTGATTTTCTTTTCTTGTTCTTTTCGAATGTCTAAATATAACCATTTTCAATGATATTCATGGTTGTTGTTGTTTTTTTTTTCGGTGTAAAATTCCGTATTCATCATCATCATTATGATTGGCGTCATTTTGCCTTGAACATTGAATGACGCCCACCACCACGATCATCATCATCATCAGTGGTGGATCCGCCTAACCGTTTTTTTTGTTTCTTCAAGATGGAATTCGGTTAATTTTATTTTTTTTGCAGTTTCTGTATTTCGATGTTTTAATAAACATCTAACCAGCGCCAGGATCACTAGTATTTCTTGTCCTTTTTCGATTTTTATTCGGTTAGTATCATTAACTTTCAGTGTCTTTCGGTGTTAACATTGTTACGTTGAATTTTGCTTTTGTTTTTAGCATAATTTATCCATAAATCATGTCTGACGAAGAAGAATACAGGTATTATTTTAACCTTTATCCAGAATTTTTTTAGAAAAAAAACAATTTTCTAACTTTTTTTCTTTGGTGGTCACAGTGAAGAAGAAATTGAAGAACCAGAACCAGAGGTTCGTAAACCACAGCCACCAAAACAGGCTGAAAAACCAGCCGAAGCACAATCAGAAGCTGAAGCTGCTATGGATGAAAAAATTCGTAAAAAGAAACAAGAAGAAGAAGAACAATGGTCAGAATATATTGAACAACGTAAAAAACAAAAACAAAAAGAAGAAGAGGAATTAAGAAAACTTAAAGAAAGACAAGCATTACGTAAACAAAAACGTGCTGAACAAGAACGTATGTTGGAAGAATGGCGTTTAAAACAAGAAGCTCAACGTATTAAAGAATTGGAAGAAAGACGATCGAAAGAAGCTGAAGCTAAACGTAAACGTTTGGAAGAAGCGGAAAAAAAACGTGCTGCTATGCAAGCTGCATTGAACAAACAGAATACCGGTTCAGGTAAAATTGAACGTAATTTTGTTATTACAAAACGATCCGATGGTGGACCGGGTGCAGCTCTTGGTAATACTGGATTCGATCGAGTAAGTTTCAAGTCATAATCCGTAGCTCTCTTTTTTCACACACATATTATTTTAGTTTTCAAACGTTATATCGGCACGATCTGAAATGGGCAAAACTAAAGAACAACTTATTGAAGATAAACGAATTGCCATGTCTTTTCGTGTTAAACCATTGGATATTGATGGTCTTTCGGTTGATGATTTGAAGAAAAAAGCATCACAACTTTGGGATATGATCGTGCAATTGGAAAGTGAAAAATATGATCTTGAAGAACGTAAAAAACGACAAGATTATGACGTAAGTAGGAAAGAGTTGCAGCACTTATCACTTATCACTTTGTTATTATAGTTGAAAGAATTGGCTGAACGTCAACGTCAAATCAATCGAAACAAAGCATTGAAAAAAGGTCTTGATCCAGATGCTTTATCGGGTAAATTCCCACCGAAAATATTGACAGCATCCAAATATGAACGACAAGTTGATCGACGAACATTCAACGACAAAAAGAGTTTGTTTGAAGGAGTATGTTTCATTGTTCAGTTTGTTTCAGTCATATCTGATAATAACCTTTATCTCTTTATATAGGGCTACGATGCTATGGTCGAAGCACAATTAGAAAAAATGTGGCAAGAACGTGTTAAAGAATTTAAGGAAAAGGATAAAGCTTTGCCAAAATGGGATCCTGAGCATCCGAAAAATAAAGAAACCTATGAACCTGGCGCACGAACATACGATGTTAATGACGAAGATGACATTGATTTGTTGGATGCATTCATTAAACCTATTGGTTTTCAAGAAGAATCAACAGATGGCGCTGATTTCAAAAATCAACAGATGGCGCTGAAAACTCAAGAAAAAAAAGAAGAGGAGGAAGAGGAGGAAGAAGAATCAGAATACGAAGACGAAGACGACGAATAATAATCTAGAAGAATAATCTTGAAAAAAAAATTCATTTATCAATGTTCTATTTATTTCTATTGAAGTGTTCAACTGATACACGAATGGTAATGGTTCTTTATGTACTGAATGCTCTTTTTTTTAAATAATAAATAAATTTCATTCATTGTCATCGTCGTTTTCATTGTCATTGGTTGTTGAATGTGTTCGTTCCTTATGCCTTTTTAGATTACCAGATTCACTGAAACATTGATCACAATGTTCACATTGAAATGGTTCATCACCAGTATGAATTCGTTCATGTCTGGTCAAATTTTCTTTACGTTTAAATTTTTTTCCACAACTTGGCCATGTACACTCAAATGGTTTTTCATCTGGTT